AGAGTTTTTTTTTTTGCTGTAAGGCACGTGGCTTGCTTTCTCACTCTCTCTCTCTCTCCCTCCCTCTCTCACTCACTTTGTCCCTCTCTAGTCATATTGAATAAATACAGTCAAATAAAATAATTCTTTAAAAAAATAAAATAAAATAAAACACAGACCGGGACTAGTAGTTGGCGTAATGGCTATGTCGCTGGACTCCCATGAAGTCGATCACAGTTCAAGTCCTGGACCTGGTGCTTAAACTCACACCAGGCGCATGTGCATGCGTGCCCAAGATGCTGAGAGGAGAATGGAAGAGAAAGGATTGCGGTGTGGCCATCCCCCCCCACCCCCGGGGTGATTTCTTGCTTTCTGTCTCTCTGTCTTTCTGGTGAGCGGATGCACCTTATGGCAAAAACCGCTCCAAAAACAAAAGAAAAAACCCACAGACCAAGACATTTTTCAGCACAGCACCTGAATGATCAAATAAAAAATTAGGTCTAAGTAATTTCTTTGTAATTTTTATTGAATTCTATATAAGAGACTCACAGTTCTGATTTCATAGTTTTCTTTCACAAAAAGGAGTTTATCCACTTCAGTTGACATAGTGTCAGTATCAAGTCCTCAATTCACAGCTAGGGAGAATACAGGCCCAGTGTCACAAACTGGTACCAACGCCCAGCCCAGAGCGATCCCTTTAGTTTCCACCCTCAGGTCAATGAGCCCTCCTTTTTTTTTTTTTTTTTTTTTTTGAGAGGTTTTCGCTATAGGGCACGTGTGCTCGCCAGACAGAGAGAGACATAGAGACAGAAAACGAGAAATCACCCCCCAGGGGGGATGGTCACGCCGCAATCCCTTCTCCTCCATTCTCCTCTCAGGATCTTGGGCATGCATGCACACGCGCCCGGCGTGAGTTTTAAGCCACCAGGTCCGGGACGCGAACCGCAGTCGACTACGTGGGAGTCCAGCGACATAGCCATTACGCTAACTGCTGGTTCCTGATGAGCCCTCCTTGATGTGTTGCACGTATAGCAGGTGCCGCTCTTCAGTCCAAACCAGCCTTTCACAGTAGCATTCAAGCCCCCAACCGAAATTTCACCTTGACTTCTTCACTGCCAGAGACCCTCTCATCCCATAAATCTCACTATTCCCAATCCCTTGCCCACTTTTCATAAATCTGCCGAAATCCTGCCCTTCTCTCGAGTTCAGCATAAATTGCACTGCCCCTGACTATGTCCATCCCAAAGAGCTGCCTCCCATTGTTCCCTGTACCATTTCTCCTGTAACTTACCATCTCACATTTGCTCATCGATAGTTGAAACATGCTAACAACTTAGTCTTCATAGGTTAGGCTGCAGGTGACTTCAATCACCCAGACTACAACTCCCGTCCAGAAAAGTAAAATAAACAAAAAAATGACAACAAAAGCTTTCGGTTGGGGGAAAAATCATAAGTTTATTCGGGCTGCCAGGTGGTGTGGGGGTTAAGAGTGCTGGACTCCCATATGACCAACTGCGGTTTGAGTCCTGGACCTGGTGGCTTGCTTTCTTACTTTCCCTTTCTCTCACTCACTCTCTCTCTCTCTCTGTTCCTCTCTAGTCAAATTAAAATAAAGTTAAATAGGGGTAATAGCAGACGGTGTAATGGCTATGTAGCTGGACTTCCATGTAGTCAACCGCGGTTCGAGTCCCAGATCCAGTGGCTTAAACTCACGCCGGGCACGCGTATGCATGCCCAACATCCCAAGAGAATGGAAGAGAAGGGATGGCAGCATGGCCATCCCCCCCGGGGGGGGGGTGGTGGTGGTGATTTCTTCCTTTCTGTCTTTCTGTCTCTCTCTTTCTGGCAAGTGCCCTATAGCAAAAACCTCTCCAAAAACCTAAGTTAAAAAAAAAAAACTATTAAAAAAAATCAGCTCATCAATTTTACTCTAGGAGAATTCACTTACTGAAGCTTGCGTTCTGTCTATACAGAATTCAAGTCTTTAAAGTGTTAATATAGTCTCAATTATTGTGTTTCAGGAGTCCTGTGGAAACAGAATCTTCCCTTAGCTGATAGAAAGGATCTTCAAAAGAGTTCTTGGAAAATGCATATTATAAAAAATTATGCATGGATTTAAAATTTTTTTGCATCAAAGTAAACTCGGTTTTTAATGGTCCTTTCCGCGAACTTTCTGCAGTCTTCTTGGATTTGTGGTGGCTTGCCAGTGCCAAGAGCCACACTAGAGGGCTTTATCACACAGTTCAAACACAGAAAAGTGCATTTAACTTGCCCAGTGATATGGTCAGTAACGGATGGAATCAAACAAGGGGCCTCTACTCTTTTCTTAACCACTGCTCTTCCAGCCTGAGAGAAAGCAACTTGACCGACAGCACTAAAGAAGGAATCATAACTGCCAAGAAAGTCAAGGGCACTCTAAAAAGCAGACGCATACGCTAGGTGCCGAGAGGCCTGACGCTGCTGGAACAAAGGGCCTTCACAGCAACTCCTGAGGTCTGTGCTCTGTCAGGCAAGACACAGGGCGCTCAGATTCCAAGTCGTGAATTTACCTTTTCCCCGTCTTAGGGATTACACGGTGTTGGACCACAGCTGTTGTAGGAATCAGGAAGTAAAGTGTACACTCGGGAATGACTTCTAAAGAAAATAGTGAACACACACAACTATTTTGCGTCCAGAAAAGTTTAGCCAGTCGGAAAAGTCGTTCTTGAAAAACCTCTTTTTTTAAACAAAGAGGGTTCCGGTCTAGGTTTCACATTTGCATAGTAGTTTTCTCTCTTTTCAAAGCCTTTCACATTCATTTATTTTAATTCGTACAGCACTCCCAGAGGGGACGGAGAGAGGGTCGGGTATGGGACGCAGAATAGTATTTAACACCCTTCTGTAATAGAGAAGCTGAGATTCAAAAGCATTCTCTCTTTTGCCCGAGGTCTACGAGAAATCTGTAGCCGGAGCCACTCATAGAAACTCCGGGTCACAAAGTCAGGACTGTCTCGGATTTTCCTAAATCATTAGATCTGCGCTAATTTCGTGTATCCCAAAAGTGTCCGATGATTTTATTGTCTCCTTTAATCCGGGTGGGCTTCCTGGAAGAACCCCACTGGCCGGGAGAGGCCGGCAGTGCCATTGGCCGCCGCCTACGTCCCGAGGGTCCCGCGTCACGTGCCGGGGGGGGTGCACGCCGGGAGCGCGGGAGGCACCCCGGGGACCCCCTTCCCCACGGCGGGCTCGGCATCACGTGACAAACCCGGCTCCCGAGTCACGTGCCGGGGGGGGTGTCGGGGACAGCGGTCATCCCG